CAAATGTTAGAAATGATGCATCAACAGAATCTTCATCGAGAGGGTCCTCAGAATGGACAAGCCTCTCGCCAGGAAGAAGAAGAGGAACCTCAAAATGAGCACGATCAATCTGACACAAGAACAGTACATATTCATGCTCCTGAAATATCAAAACAACAAATCACTGCTCTTGAAGAGAGGCTGAGAGCCATGGAAGGTCATAACTTTGATATAAAAGAGGCGGCTGATATGTGCCTCGTCAAAAATATCCAATTCCCTAACAAGTTCAAAACTCCGGACTTCCCGAAATACATGGGAACGACCTGCCCAAGAAGCCATCTCACAATGTACTGTCATAAGATGGCTGCACATGCTGATAATGAAAAACTCCTGATCCACTGCTTTCAGGAGAGCCTGGCTGAATCAGCCTTAAACTGGTATATGCAACTAGAAGGAGGGCAAATCCAAACCTGGAGACATATGGCAGATGCATTTCTTCGTCGTTATAAATACAACATTGATCTGACCCCTGAAAGAGCAGATCTACAATTATTAAGCAAGAAAAATGACGAATCCTTCAAAGCATATGCCCAAAGATGGAGGGAATTGGCAGCACAAGTGGAGCCTCCTCTATCCGACAAGGAAACTACATCCATGTTCATCAATTCTCTGACTGGTCCCTATTACGACGAAATGATAGGGAATACATCAACACTCTTTGCGGATGTAGTCATTATAGGAGAAAGAGTAGAACAAGGTCTGAAGAGTGGAAGAATTGTACAACAAACTTCCTCCAATTCCTCTACTCAAACTTTTAAAAAGAATTTTGGAAAGAAGAAGGAGGGAGACGTGAATGCAATTAATATCGCCATTCCTTCTGCCTCCGCGCAACAAACCAAGCCACGCAAACAAGAAAGGAAATTTGCACCAATACCTACCTCCTACGGAAGTCTGTTGATAAAATTGTTGGATGCTAAACTCCTTGTGCGAATCCCTCCCAAAAAGATGGAGCCACCCTATCCAGAATGGTATAAGCCAAATGAAAAATGCAATTATCATTCGGACGCTCCAGGACATTCTGTAGATAACTGCATAGCTTTAAAGCATAAGGTCCAAGATTTAATAGATGCGGGGTGGATTACTTTTGACGCATCTACTCCAAAGGTGGATGAACAACCCTTATCAAAGCCCGAATGAAAGACGGGATAAGGAAAACCAGCAATTTAGGGCTCATCATTTTTACCATCTCTAAAAAAAAAAAAATATATGAAAATATATAAAAAGCTTCCGATGTACTCCTCGTGATCCCTGCCCATGATCACGAGATTATTGGTTAATAAGGGCTTTGTAAATATTTGCATTTATCAATACAATAAGGCATTTTCCATTTCTCTTTCATTCCTTTCTCTCTCATTCCAAAATAATTAAATAACATCTACACCCAAATATATACCATATAAACAGTCATGTCTGTGATTGAAAACTCTCTGCGGGATCTAAAAGCCGAAGGCGAATGGATTAAGTCAGACAGTGAGGAGGGGACTATTTCCCCGGACATGCAAAGACTGTTGAAAAAATAAGCTCAATGGATATAGCCCAGGACGAGGGCTTGGAAAGGATGCTCAAGGAATAAGAGAGCCACCAGATTTTAAGGATAATCCTTGAAAGTACGACCCTACAAAAGATCAAGTCGTACCATGAAAAGGGAAGTCTCCCCTCCGTACCTTAAAAAGACGATCTTCCGAAAAGGAGGGATATTAGCATCAAGGGTAGCATTAGTCATTAGATGTCCTTCTTCCGATTTTAAGGGACGTAAACCCAATGACTGTTAGAGATCACTCCTCGGGGTAGGCCCGAACCCCCGAGCATCTTTAGGGCACGCATTTCCCTTTGAATTACAAAAGAATGCTATTCTTACTATCTGCTTCTCTTCTAGCTAAACATTTCTATACCCCATTAAATAACCAATGTTTAGACAAACGTTTTGTTCCAAAATGCGTCAAAATGCCATAGACAAAATGAAGCCAAAGTTAACATGATTGATTAGCTAGAGACACAAATAAGAAAATCGTGTTTCGACAATGTTTGAGAAAAGAAATTATTATTAAAAGAAGCCCGTCAAGGTCAAAGACCAAGACAAAAAGATAAAAGGGCAAAATCCTAGGCAGACTAGGAAAGTTAATCAGTCACAAATAGGCAGTTGATGACGCCACATCATTAAAACAAAACGTTTGTTTAAACTAGCCTAAACACCGACCAACCTTGGCTAGCCATTCTTACAAAAACTATTATTTCAAAAAAAAAATCTCACTAAAACACAAGCCTTTGCAATAAATCCCTTTCCTTCTATTCTCTTGACCCTTCACCATAAAGCATTCAAGTAATTGACTGGGAAATGTGGAAATATAGTGATCAATAGGAGGATTGAAATCCCTAAGGAAAGGAAGAGGGGCATTGATATGGCAATTGCTCTACATTCAAAATGATTACTCTTCGGTTATAGCAAAGATCCGAGACGGCAAATCGGTACAGCTAATCATGTTGATCAAAGCACATGATGATGGAAGTAAACTTAACAGAAGCTGAATGGGTTCAAAGCCGATATGACCAGCTAAACCTTATTGAAGAAGAACAACTGAATATGATATGTCATGGACAAGCCTATCAAAGGAAAATAAAAAAGGCTTACAAAAAAAAAGGTCAACCCTCATATTTACCATAAGAAGGACTTAATGGTAAATAAGTTACTTCCAGTCCAGAAGAATAAAATTGGAAAATGGGCATTGAACTATGAAGGACCCCTTGTGGTCAAATGAGCTTTCTCGGAAGGGGCTCTTATCCTCGCCAATATGGATGGAAAAGAACGTCGACACCTAATCAACTCCAGTACGGTGAAGAAGTATTATGCTTGAAGACATTGCTCAAGACCCGTCAGGAATGAAAATCCGCAAAGGACATTCCTGGGCAAAAGATAGGGTCCATATTCCTCGCTAGGATACGTCCTAGGCAAAATGAAGAGGTAAAAAAAAAAAGAGAAGAGTAAATAAAAGAAACTAAGAGCAATGGTTACTTTAGTCAAAAACCGAAAAGGCGACTAAAGTAACATTCTTCCAGAAGCAAGCAGTCTGCATGGTCTTCACTCTGAGCTCAGGCATCTCAACTGAAGCAATTAGGAAAACCGGGGGGCAGATATCATGGACATGACTGTTTAAGCCTATACAGTATAGCCAACCCCAGCCATCCATTCTTCTAAATTCCTTTTGTAATCCTTCTGTAAAAGAAATAAACTTTTGTTCATTTATCAATAAAATTCCCTTTCATTTCCTTTCTCTTGACCAAATATTATGGAAATGCCTCTTTATTGATAAATCATAAATATGCGCAAAGACTTTTCTATCAAAGATCAAACATGCATCCAAAAAAAAGAAGCATATAAAAATAATAAGAAAATAATAAATTCCTGCTAGTATATTCTTAGGTAAAAACTAGGGTAGCCTGCTAGATCGCAAACCCCAAAAGACGATCTAGGCAAAAAGATAAGGCAAAAGCCCCCTAAGGTATTCTAGGCAAAAATTAAGGCAGCCCGCTAGATCAAAAACCCGTAAAGGGCGGTCTAGGCAAAAGATAGGGCTAAAACCAAAAGATGAGTAAAAGATGAGCCCATCATCATGGTCATAAAGGAGAAGCCCATCGGCACATTCATAAGAAGCCAACGGGAGAAGGCCAGTTACTTTCTAAATACATAAAAATAAATAAACAAATAGATTGCATTTAGGACATCCACACACAAAGTATTTGCATAATACGACTTTGTCAAAATCAAGAAAAATAATTTTCTTCAAACAAGAATATTAAACATGCATATAAGGAGGATAGTCTCCATACTTGTGATTGAAAACAGGAGGTGCCAGAATCCAGCCTCTAAATGAAAATCAAAATCGCAAAAGGCGAAATCAAAAACCATTTCAGCAGAATAAAGAGCTTTAAGAAAACCATAGCTCCAACCATTATCCTCAAACCCCAATAGAAGGAGGGTACGTAAAAAAAAAAAAAAAAAAAAAGGGGCCAACGGAAAGGCCCGATGATCCCCAAGCGGATCCTTGCCCACTCTAGAGGCAAAACAAAAAAAATTATTACTCCATGACTCAGCATCATCACCACATGAGTCATCAAACATAGTCATTCAAAGTTGCAATCAGCATCCTTCCACCAATAAAAGAAGGTACATCAAAAACGAAAAAGCCAACGGAAAGGCTTGATAATCCCCTAGCGGATCCTTGCCTACTCCAAAGGCAAAACAAAAAAAATTACTCCATGACTCAGCATCAACACCATATGAGTCATCAAGCATAAATCACTTGGAGCTGCAATCAACATTTTTTCCATCCAGAAAAGTCATCAAGAAAAGCCAATGGAAAGGCTCAATTATCCCCAAGAGGATCCTTGTCTACTCTAGAGGCAAGACAAAAAGATTACCTCACGACTCGAAGACATCACCGCATGAGTCATCAAGCACACTCATTAGAGAGTCGCCACCTCGAGGAGTTCATCAAAGAAAGATCACGCAAAAATCCATCAAAGAAAGCACAAGATCAAATCAACCCCCCGGTGGATCACCAAAAAGAAAAGTTTTTCCCCAGGAAACAACCAAATCCCTGGTGGATCACCAAAAAAAAGAAAATCCCCAGCGAGCCTACCAAATGAAGGCAAAACTACAAGTTTATATCCTCAGGGAATCGTGTATAAATTCCCAAATACAAATATCCCCAGTGAAAAGCAAAGCCTTCACTCCGAAGAAGAGCCTCTGACTAAGGCAAGCAAAAATCAAATATCCGCAAGAAATGGGAAATCAACCTATAAGAGGTAATACAAGTCCAAGAACAAAGCTTTCAAAAAGCATCCACCTACTCAGAGGTATTATCAAGAACAAATATCCTCAAGTAGAACATCAGCCTATTCAGAGGCGAACAACAAGTAAAAAAAAAAAAAAAAAAAAAAAAAAACCTTCACCACTATTGAAGCACCCGCCTAATCAAGAGGCACAATCAAAAATCAACAAAATCCCCAAGTGGATCTTCGCCTAATCAAGAGGCACAATCAATAAGAGAATTCAAAATCCCCAGAGGATTCCCGCCTAAGAAAAAGCCAAAAATCAAGAATCCCCGGCAAAAGCCGGATGGCTAAACAGAAAAGCCAAAAATAAAGAATCCCCGGTAAAACCGGACGACTAACAGAAAAGTCAAATATTCCCCACGGAATGGGCGCATGAGCAGAAACAATAAGCCGCCAACACATCTCCAAAAAACAGATAATCACAGGATTAACTACCAAAAAGTGCATCCTGAGAACCTTGCAAAACGGGGTTCGGACCAGGTGGGGGTAAGTACCCATCAGAATCTTGCAGAACGAGATTCGGACCAGGTGGGGGTAGGTACCCATCAGAGCCTTGCAGAACGGGGTTCGGACCGGATGGGGGTAGGTACCCATCAGAATCTTGCAGAACGGGATTCAGACCAGGTGGGGGTAGGTACCCATCAGAATCTTGCAGAACGAGATTCGGACCAGGTGGGGGTAGGTACCCATCAGAGCCTTGCAGAACGGGGTTCGGACCGGGTGGGGGTAGGTACCCATCAGAATCTTGCAGAACGAGATTCGGACCAGGTGGGGGTAGGTACCCATCAGAGCCTTGCAGAACGGGGTTCGGACCGGATGGGGGTAGGTACCCATCAGAATCTTGCAGAACGGGATTCGGACCAGGTGGGGGTAGGTACCCATCAGAGCCTTGCAGAACGGGGTTCGGACCAGGTGGGGGTAGGTACCCATCAGAATCTTGCAGAACGAGATTCGGACCAGGTGGGGGTAGGTACCCATCAGAGCCTTGCAGAACGGGGTTCGGACCAGATGGGGGTAGGTACCCATCAGAATCTTGCAGAACGAGATTCGGACCAGGTGGGGGTAGGTACCCATCAGAATCTTGCAGAACGGGATTCGGACCAGGTGGGGGTAGGTACCCATCAGAATCTTGCAGAACGGGATTCGGACCAGGTGGGGGTAGGTACCCATCAGAGCCTTGCAGAACGGGATTCGGACCAGGTGGGGGTAGGTACCCATCAGAATCTTGCAGAACGGGATTCGGACCAGGTGGGGGTAGGTACCCATCAGAATCTTGCAGAACGGGATTCGGACCAGGTGGGGGTAGGTACCCATCAGAATCTTGCAAAACGGGGTTCGGACCAGGTGGGGGTAGGTACCCATCAGAATCTTGCAAAACGAGATTCGGACCAGATGGGGGTATGTACCCATCAGAGCCTTGCAGAACGGGGTTCGGACCGGATGGGGGTAGGTACCCATCAGAATCTTGCAGAACGGGATTCGGACCAGATGGGGGTAGGTACCCATCAGAATCTTGCAGAATGGGGTTCAGACCGGATGAGGGTAAGTACTCATCAGAATCTAGCAAAAATACAGATTCACACCGGGTGGAGGTAGGTACCCACCAAAACCTTAAAAATAAGGTTTATACCGGATGAGGGTAGGTACTCATCAAAATTTAGCAGAATACATTAGGTGGAGTAAAAATACTCACCTAAGCATTTCAAAAATGGGTTGCTAAGATCTTACTTCTATTAGAGGATAGTTCAGTGTTAAGCACCTCGGAAGTTAGTACCCACAAGAGTTTAGCAAAACGTAAACTCGTACCAAGTGAGGGTAAGTACTCACCAAAACCTTGCAGAATAAGGTTCACACCCAGTGGGGGTGTAAAATCCACTAGAGCCTAGTCAATATGCAGGTTCGCACCCAGTGGGGGTGTAAAAACCACTAGAGTCGGTCAAAATGCAGACTCATACTAGGTGGGGGTAGGTACCCACAAGAATTTATCAAAATGCAGATTCGTACCAGGTGGGGGTAGGTACCCACCAAAACCTTAAAAAGAAAGCTCAAACCAGATAGGGGTTGGTACCTATCAAAATATTTATCATCCGAAGGATCAACAAGGAGCAGCATCCGAAGGATAACCGGGCAAAAGGGTTAACTCCTTCCCCTACCAACTAATTTTTGTCGGTATATTAAAACCAACGAATTAGTTAGGCAGGTGAAGGGGGGGCAGCTGTAGACCCCTAATTTTGCCCGGCCTCTCAAAATAAAAGCTAGGGAAACTTCATACAGTTCACCCGGCTTCATATCAAAGAAAAACCGAGAAAGACCTCCCACAACAAAGACGGAGTTCACCCATTCACACAATAAAGACTAAAGAGACTTCCTACACAAAGACAAAGCTCGCCCGGCATCTTAATGAAGGCCAAGAAGACTTCCTATATGAAGATAAAGCTTCAACGGACACACATCGGCATCAATCTATGTCCGAAAAAGGAAAGGAAAGCTTCCCGGGGTCCCAGAACGCGAAGACTGGACAAAACAGGCCGAGACCACGGTCCCAGAAGTGGGACGGCCGTCCCAACTGCTATTTTACAGTTGGGACGCGCGTCCCGTATGTGGGACGGCCGTCCCAAACCCATTTTAAGTGGGACGGCCGTCCCGGCCTTCCTGGGGGTCCCGCTCTGTGTAAATTTGCCATTTGGGACGGCCATCCCAGTCCAGACGGCCGTCCCAACCCAGACGGCCGTCCCAAAGTGCGCCAGCTGCGAAAAACTATAAATAGGAGGCTCATTTGCCACTTTTTCACACCCCAGACATCCCAGAGAGCTCTGAAACACTTTCTAAAACTCAGAGCACTCGTCTATTTCTCTCCCTTTCTCGAATGATCTTTCCGATTGCCTTAAATAGGTAACAATCGGTTAAGGAATTATATTCCGGCATTTGATTCTTCTTTAAATTTTTAGTGGAGTCGATCTTGTATTGGTGAGGAGAGTCTGTGTAGAGAGAGGGGTTGCCAAAACGCATCCTCACAGTTGGAGATTCTCAATACAAAGCTTGCTACGGAGGTTCTTTTCAATTCTCTTCTCTTTTATTGCTTTATTTATCGTTTTATTTAGCTTTATTTGTTGTTTATGTCATAAAATCATGTAGATAGCTATTTTAATACCTCTTTTATTGCTTTATTTAGCTTTATTCATCATTTTATGCATGCAATATAAAATAAAATCATGTAGATAGCCATTTAATATTATGTAATAAAATAGGGTAATCGCGTAATTTCTCGTAGTCTTTACTTAAATGAATTAATCTGTCATAGGGAACCCGAAAGGGGCGTTGTGGGGTGCTAACACCTTCCCCACACGTAACTAACTCCCTTACCTAACTCTGGTTATAATGGCCAAGTCTGGTTTTTATTAAAATCAATGCCTTTTCATCCTTTTCCAATGTTTATGGTCAAAATATTGGTGGCGACTCCATAAGAACCCCTTTTCGAAAACCTTTTAAAACAAATACGCGAGTCTAAACCATCTTTTCGCGACCGCTCGCATAAACGTCACCGGACGTCCTCAGGACGTCGGAAGGGACGGCGGCGACAGATGGCGACTCCACTGGGGAAGCTAGAGAGTTGATCCCATTTAGTGACAGATAAATTCAAACTAAGTAAAGATTTGAAATTACGCCTTTACCCTTCGTATGTTTTTACTGTATGGCTTTAATAACTGCTGTATGATTATTTCTGCAATTGTTTGAAATATAAATTGCACACAAAAAACCCTTGCACACAACAGTCCCTCTATACCCGGGGGCAAGAGTGAATATCTATAGGGAGTGGGTGGCAGATACGATCGGTTAGTTGGCACACGGGGCTACTGCCGTTGTCGGAAAACCACCAACTCAAGGTGATAACTCTCTTCTTTTGGTCTAAGGATGTCGCCACGGAGTTCCGTGCATGACCCGAGGATTGAGAGATTGAGAGGTCCCTATAATGGGGGCACCTTGGGGACCTTTGGCCTGGTGAGAACAGTTAGAACCACCTAAACCAAGCACGTTTCTGCAGGAAAATCCTACCTCGTGATTAAATAAGCGTGGCTCTGCTCGTGGATGTATGAATTGTGTGTGCATACGTTTGTTGCATTTGTATTGATGCATTAACATAGGGTAATCATATAACAGACAAAAAATGAAAAACCCTAAAAATCATAAAAAATGAAAAACCCTAAAAATATAAAAACATTAAGGTCATAAAAATACCTTTTTTGGCAAAGTCGTATCATTCATACCATATCATTCAATAAGTGGTAAAACCAAGAGAGAAAACCAATGCATTAAGAAAAGTATGCATAAACATCATCATAATAAAATCTCTCATACATAAACACATTCATCCTAGGGCATATTTATTCCACGCTAATTATTTAAAATAAAAAGTCATAATAAGAATCATTAAAATAATTTAGAAGGTGGCTGGTCTTCCGCCCGTCCTCACTCGTGCTCAAAAAGCTAAGAAGATGGAACAACTAGAAGAGCAAAACCGAAAGCTCACTGCTGAGCTTACTACGCTGAAAGAGCATGTAGACCCCTAATTTTGCCCGGCCTCTCAAAATAAAAGCTAGAGGAACTTCGCCCGAAGATAGAGTTCATCCGGCTTCCCAAAACCGAGGAAACCTCCCGCAACAAACACAGAGATTGCTCGTCTGCACGATAAAAGACAAAGGAGACTTCCTATACGGAGATAAAGCTCGCCCGACATTCCAAATAAAGGCCAAAAAGACTTCCTATATGAAGATAAAGCTTCAACAGACACATATCGGCATCAACTGACGTCCAAAACAGGCAAGGAAAGCTTCCCGGAGTCCCGAAACGCGCGAAACTGGCCAGAACAAGTCGAGACGGCCGTCCCAAGTTGGGACGGCCGTCTCAACCTGCCCCAGCCAGTTGGGACGCGCGTCCCGAAGTTGGGACGGCCGTCCCAAACCCCAATTTAAGTGGGACGGCCGTCCCGGGTTCCCAGGGGGTCCCAGCCTGTGTAAATTTGCCATTTGGGACGGCCATCCCAGTCCAGACGGCCGTCCCAACCCAGACGGCCGTCCCAAAGTGCGCCAGCTGCGAAAACTATAAATAGGAGGCTCATTTGCCACTTTTTCACACCACAGACATCCCAGAGAGCTCTGAAACACTTTCTAAAACTCAGAGCACTTGTCTATTTCTCTCCCTTTCTTGAATGATCTTTCCGATTGCCTTAAATAGGTAACAATCGGTTAAGGAATTTTATTCCGGCATTCGATTCTTCTTTAAATTTTTAGTGGAGTCGATCTTGTATTGGTAAGGAGAGTCTGTGTAGAGAGAGGGGTTGCCAAAACGCATCCTCACAGTTGGAGATTCTCAATACAAAGCTTGCTACGGAGGTTCTTTTCAATTCTCTTCTCTTTTATTGCTTTATTTATTGTTTTATTTAGCTTTATTTACTGTTTATGCCATGTAGAATAAAATCATGTAGATAACTATTTTAATATCTCTTTTATTGCTTTATTTAGCTTTATTCATCATTTTATGCATGCAACATAGAATAAAATCATGTAGATAGCCATTTAATATTATGTAATAAAATAGGGTAATCGCGTAATTTCTCGTAATCTTTACTTCAATGAATTAACCTGTCATAGGGAACCCGAAAGGGGCGTTGTGGGGTGCTAACACCTTCCCCACACGTAACTAACTCCCTTACCCAACTCTGGTTATAATGGCCAAGTTTGGTTTTTTATTAAAATCAATGCCTTTTTATCCTTTTCCAATGTTTATGGTCAAAACATTGGTGGCGACTCCATAAGAACCCCTTTTCGAAAACCTTTTAAAACAAATACGCGAGTCTAAACCATCTTTTCGCGACCGCTCGCATAAACATCACCAGACGTCCTCAGGACGTCGGAAGGGATGACGGCGACAGATGGCGACTCCACTGGGGACCCCTTTTCGAAAACCTTTTAAAACAAATACGCGAGTCTAAACCATCTTTTCGCGACCGCTCGCATAAACGTCACCAGACGTCCTCAGGACGTCGGAAGGGACGGCGGCGACAGATGGCGACTCCACTGGGGAAGCTAGAGAGTTGATCCCATTTAGTGACAGATAAATTCAAACTAAGTAAAGATTTGAAATTACGCCTTTACCCTTCTGTATGTTTTTATTGTATGGCTTTAAATAACTGCTGTATGATTATTTCTGCAATTGTTTGAAATATAAATTGCACACAAAAACCCTTGCACACAACAGTCCCTCTATACCCGGGGGCAAGAGTGAATATCTATAGGGAGTGGGTGGCAGATACGATCGGTTAGTTGGCACACGGGGCTACTACCGTTGTCGGAAAACCACCAACTCAAGGTGATAACTCTCTTCTTTTGGTCTAAGGGTGTCGCCACGGAGTTCCGTGCATGACCCGAGGATTGAGAGATTGAGAGGTCCCTATAATGGGGGCACCTTGGGGACCTTTGGCCTGGTGAGAACAGTTAGAACCACCTAAACCAAGCACGTTTCTGCAGGAAAACCCTACCTCGTGATTAAATAAGCGTGGCTCTGCTCGTGGATGTGTGAATTGTGTGTGCATTCGTTTGTTGCATTTGTATTGATGCATTAGCATAGGGTAATCATACAACAGACAAAAAAATGAAAAACCCTAAAAATCACAAAAAATGAAAAACCCTAAAAATCATAAAAAA